TTGATCTGTTCTTTCATTTTTGCCATATTTCTTTGCATCGGCACACCTGTTATGTTGTAAGGGCATGGAGCCTCAGGTATTCACCAGGGCGAGGCAACACTTTTTGCTGCGTTGTGGTACTGTATGTGGTGGAGGTATAACAGAGGGAACAATGCCACTTGCTGGCTCCTTTTAGCCCCACTTTCCAGCAAACTCTCCTGTGAGACTGGGAGTTTCTCCTGCCTTCACAGTCCCCACAGTATTTTACAGCTAGAGGTTTTGAGTCTTCAGCTTGCCGGTCAGCCAGCCCCTCCATATCTGCACAGTCCACCCCTCCATACCTGTGCCTTGCAGGGGGTCCTCTTTGCCAGCTCGGTTGCCCATCTCCACCCCTCCTACCAGTCTGGATGAATGTTTCTTTAACTCTTTGATTGTCAGAGTTCTAGGCAGTTTGCTATTCTGGCAGTTCTGGTTGCTTATGGTTTTTGAATTTGTTGTTATCCTTCTTTTGGTTGTGTGAGGAAGTGAAGTGTTTCTACCTATGCCTTCATGTTGGCCAGGTATTTCCTAGAGCTTCTTTCTTTAGAGAAATTTGGCCTTTTTTCCCCTCTTTAATTTCCACCATTCTTTACAGGATGTCAGGACTATTGATCTGTTAGGACTTTTTATAACTAACAATGTTTCAATTCCTCTTAGTCAAAAGGAATAGGTATAGAGAGAAAATTAATATATTTTAGGAATGTATATATTGTTATAAGGATTGAGGGAGAGTCAGGATCTTTTAGAGAAATCAGAAAGAGATAGAATCTGGATCTGAATTCCATCAAAAATTATATCCCAGAGAAGGGGTGAAAAATTTCATTCCTGTCAGAGCAGCCAAATTAATTTCAGATGACATCAGTCTATATTTAAACACTTCATTTGATTCTCAGTTAGAAACTCCTCTTTACCCAGGTCTCCTCAGCCCTGAAGTGTCTCAATCTCATCACTTTCATTATTAATACTAATGGTTATTAATGCTCTAGTCCTACTAGACTAGACTTTTATCTTTCCAAAATGCTAAACCTGTATTTATCTTAGTGATTCTGAACATCCTCTTCTCTCTGCTGGGGTGATTCTCTTCCTGCTTACCGCATGACCAGCTCCTTCTCATCTTGCTCAGATTTTGTTCCCTTCCACAGCTCTTTCCTGCCTTCTTCTCTCTGCTGTCACTTCCATGACACATCCAAACTGTTGCCATCACATGGCTCTGTCTTACTTTTTCCTAACATTTATCACTAGGAAAATTCACCTTATATGTTTAGTACTTAGCCCCAGGAAAATGTGGCACCATGAGAGAAGAAACCTGTCTTTGTTCACTTTGCTTTATTAGTATCTATAATAGTGCCAGGAACACAAAATATGCTCACTAGTCCTGGATGAATGAAGAAATGACTGGGGGAAAAGATCAAGATACAAAGTGGAGAGAACTTTGTACAGGTGGGTAATTGATCACCTCTCTTCTGAGGTGTGGAAGATGCTGGTCCTAGATCCTAGACTGGGAAAAGTCATGTGAACTGGTGATGGAAGTGACCATATCCTTTGCAAGACAATGATTCTGACTTCTGGCCAAGATGGAGGCATAGATAGGTACACTTTGCCTCCTTGCGCAACCAAAAACAGGACAACAACACACTTAAAAACAAAAATTAACCAAAATTGCCATAAAATCGAACTGTATGGAAGTCCGACAACCAAGAAGCTAAAGAAGAAACATTCATCCAGACCAGTAGGAGGGACAGAGACAGGCAGCTGGGGCAGAGAGGATGCCCGGCAAGGCAGCAGCTGGAGGACTGGGTGTCCCACATTTGTGTGCGGATAAACCAGGGGGAACAGCTGGGGAGCAAGTCAGATCACGCAATCCAGGGTTCCAGTGTGGGAAAAGAAGCCTCAAAATCTCTGGAGGTACAAAGCTGAGGGGGCTGGGGCAGCAGGAGAAACTCCCAGTCTCACAGGAGAGTCCATTGGAGAGACCCACAGGGTCCTAGAATGTACACAAACCCACCCACCTGGGAATCAGCACTAGAAGGGCCCAATTTGCTTGTGGGTATTGGGGGAAATGACTGAAAACTGGCCAAGAGCCAAGCAAGTGGCATTATTCCCTCTCAGATCCCTTCCCCACACACTGTGTCACAACTCAGCGACCTGGGTTGCCTCACCCTGGAGAATACCTAAGGCTCCACCCCTTCCAATGTAATAGGTGTGCTGAGACAAAGAAATATGGCCCCAATGAAAGAACAGATCAAAGCTCCAAAAACAGAACTAAGCCATGAACAGATAGCCAACCTATCAGATGCACAGTTTAAAACACTGGTAATCTGGATGCTCACTGAATTGGTTGAGTATGGTCTCAAAATGAAGGAAAAAGTGAAGGCTACACAAAGTGAAATAAAGAAAAATGTACAGGGAACCAACAGTAAAGGGAAGGAAACCAGGACTCAAATCAATGATTTGGAGCAGAAGGAAGAGATAAACATCCAACCAGAACAGAGTGAAGAAACAAGAATTCAAAAAAATGAGGAGAGACTTAGGAAGCTCTGGGACAACTTTAAACATTCCAACATCCAAATCATAGGGGTTCCAGAAGGAGAAGGGGAAGAGCAAGAAATTGAAAACTCATTTGAAATAATAATGGAGAAGTTCCCCAATCTGGTAAAGGAAATAGACTTCCAGAAGATTCAGGAAGCTCAGAGAATTCCAGATAAGTTGGACCTAAGGAGGATCACACAAAGGCACATTATAATTAAGCCCCCCCCCCCAGATTAAAGATAAGAAGAGAATCTTAAAAGAAGCAAGAGGAGAGGAGAGAATTACCTACAAAGGAGTGCCCATATGACTATTCAGCTGATTTCTCAAAAGAAACCTTGCAGGCAAGAAGGGGCTGACAAAATGTATTCAAAGTCATGAAAGACAAGGACTTACATCCAAGATGACTCTATCCGACAAAGCTATCATTTAGAATGGAAGGGCAGATAGAGTGCTTCCTAGATAAGGTCAAGTTAAAGGAGTTCATCATCACTAAGCTCTTAGTATATGAAATGTTAAAGGGACTTACTAAGAAAAAGAAGATCAAAAACTATGAACAGTAAAATGACAACAAACTCACAACTATCAACAACTGAACCTAATAGAAAACAAAACAAAAAACAAAAACAAAAACAAAAAAAAAATAAGCAAACAACCAGAACAGGAACAGAATCATAGAAATGGAGGTCAGCAAAGAAGGGGAGGGAGAAGAATGGGGGAAAAGGTATAGGGAATAAACAGCATAAGTAGTAGTTACAAAATAGGCAGGGGAGGTTAAGAATAGTATAGGAAATGGAGAAGCCAAAGAACTAATATGTACAACCCATAGGCATGAACTAAGGGGTGCAGGAGGAATGCTGGGGGGAGAGGCATTGCAAGGTGGAGGGGAACAAAGGGGAGAAAAAAATGGGACAACTGTAATGGCATAATCAATAAAACATGTATTAAAAAAAAAGACAATGATTCCATCTTTGCTGTGTTCAATCTCTTCTTTCTGTTGTTCTGTGGCTATATGAAGAATGAATATAATTATGCCATGACTTGCTTTATCTAAAGTCAATGGATTCTGTTGAGCATGTCAATTTTCCAAACCCAGAGTCCCTGTGCAATAGTGTCAGGCAACAACACGCCTGGAGGTGCAAAACCACCAATGACTTCTCTGGGAATATGCACAAATGCAGCTGCTGTTTGTAGTACTAATAAGAGCAAGTTGTAAGGCATAGTGAAGTAGTGCTTGCAATGGAAACACTATCTCTGAGGCCCTTGAAAAGGGAGGTCAGTACTCCCAGTGCCAAGAACAGAAGTACAGATTTGATGACATGCCACCTCTGCTCTAGCCGAAGTCAGACACTCCAAAAAGACACTCCCACCACTGTCACCAAAACAATCACTTGAATGCTACTGCTGACCATAATTTGTAAGGGTTTTTTCCTTCCTGTTCCTCATTCATTCCTGAGTGCAGCCTTGAGAAGGAAGCGGGCAGGGGATCTCAGTATCCAGCCCTTCTCTCCATGACTGTAGAATCCCCTAATGCTGGAGTCTGGGCCTCTTCCTGACCTGAGTGTGAAAGAACCACCGATTACCCCTTGGGGACAGCAGTGGAGGCCAGAATGGGCAGGAGAGGCCTCACCCTGATGAGGCATCTCAATGTTGGGCTTCCTCCCTGCCTTTCCATCTACCACGGGACCAGCTGGCCCCTTTTCCAGGACATAGAAATTGCCGGGAAAGACTTCCTCCTCTTCTCCAGGCAGCACTAGAACCTGCCCATGGACTACCTTAACGAGTGATCTCATTCCATGTTTGCCTCCCTCCTTGTACCCACCCCTCGTATAACCACTTATACCTGTGAAATTGATACACTTACATACAGAAAAAGTATCTCTGAGGTTAAAGTTTCTTTTTTGGATTCATCAAATATGACAATTTTTTACACAGCAAAATTTTACATATATTATAGAAAACTTTTTGCTCATTAGTCAGACAGAATCAAAGACATTTGCTTTCCACTTACTCAGCTGGGCCATTTACCTCTTGGGCTATAAATATGCAGATCAGTTGAAGCTTCAGGTTTTCAACTTGAGGCAGAGAGAGAAAGAGAGAGAGAGAGAACTCCGAGTTGCTTTATTTTACAAGAACCCTGTTATACTTGTATCTCTCTATTTCCCTCAAATCCCCTATTAGAGGACAAAAAAAAAAAAAAAAAAAAAAAAGATCTGGACCAGATGCGTCTTCATGACTGCACAGGGGGCACAAACAGACACACATAGACGTGTAGGTGATTCTACAAAGAAGTTTATTGCAGGTGCACAGGAGCTTCAGCTCAGCAGAGCTTAAAGGGGGTTGTGGGCTGGTGACGAGGACTGACGCGGATATCCAGGGGGCAGGAGGTGGCCTGGGACCATGGCTGTGACGGCGGGGCTGGAGCAGGAGCTTGGCACAGAGAGCGGACCCAGAGCTTAGTAGAGTCTGTCGAAGTGAACCGGAACATGCGTCCTGTCACAGGCTATGCTGTAGTTCTTCAGTACGAAATATTGCTGGTATTGGCACTGCAAGTAAGTTGGACCTTGACTTGTGAGGTTGCAGTAGGTAAGATTCACTGCAGCTGGGCTCCTATAGCAATTATTGCCTCCCCTGTAACAGGTTATATTTCGGGTATAACAAAGATTAGTTACAGCAGCTAATGTAGTTGTATTGAGAAAAGTATTTTCGTTTTTGCATATCCTTCGAGAACGAGGAGTATTATATTGGTTAATCGCCCGCATTGCGATGGTGCATTGTCTGCTGATCATATTAATGTGCTGAATTTCAAACCACCGAGCCCAGGTTATACCAGGAGGTGGGGCATGGACCAAGGTCGTCATTCCTAAGAGCCCCAGCAGCAGAAGGAGACAAAGCCGGGAATCTGGAAGTGTTAGAACCATGTTTCCTGTAAAAAGAGAAGGACCTCTTACAATCCTGCCCGGTAGTGACAACCCTCTCGCCTCTCACCCTGCAGGCCCCCCACTGTAACTGATGTTCTATTTTCTTCCTTTTCAGCTCCCCCAAATCTGTCTTGTGTCCTGGGTACTAACCTAAGCTCAGTCCTACTGCAGTTGCTGTCCCAAGGCTGGCCCTCCAGTCTCAGGTCAGGGGGCTCATTGTCTTACCTAGTCTCTGTGATGTGGCGGCTCTAAGAACAGATCCAGCTGGTTTCCCCTGTCCTGTGGACTGGAGATATAGAGCAGCGCCTGTGAGTGGGGTTGGCAGAGCCAGGTGCGGTCTGAGTCTAAGATGTGAAGAAACCCACAGGTTGGCACATGGCCCCATTGTGCAACGAGCTTCTTGTTTTATCCTTTGCTGATCAACACATACGCAAGGACAGTTGGCTGCTGCTTTCGAGGTTCAACTCTGGTAGCCGGCGTCCCACACAGAACAGAGCTCTGCCTGTGATTCTGGTTTCTGTTGACAAAAAACACACACTGGCTGCAGAATGGCCTTCAATTTTATAACTGAACTTGGGGATGGCACTGAGGGACAGAAAGACAAGCCTGCTTCTCAGAAGAAACAGAACCAGGAGGGCTGTCTGCACAGGAGAATCCCATGTGCCTCTTACCTGCATGATCTCCCTGGTTCCCTCTCAGCCAAACGTTCTCCATCTCCTCACCTCCCTGAGCTGCCAGCTTGAGCTCTGAGTTTCTTGCTGCTTAAAATCTTGAAGGTATATAGTAGTTTCTTGCATATCTTTGAGGTTTGTTTCTTTCGGCTCCCCTTTTATTGGGTTCACTTTGACTTATTTTAACACTGGCTTGATTTTTGTTCACTTTCTATGAAGTATAGCACAACTTGAAAACATCCAGGGAAAAGCCTTTGAGGAAAATCTGCTGCAGAATAACCATGTGGAGTCATTTAAAGGAAACTGTGCAGAGAGGGGACAGATATCCCAGTGGGGCAGGCCTCATACTAAGAGATGTTATATTTCTGGTCCAACTTGTAGGTTAGAAAACTAGAATTAAACCTTTCAGTGGTATCACATAACCTTCCAACAAAAATGTTACAGCATTTTTTTTTCTACCTTTCTAAATTCCTGTTGTCTGGAAATGCAATTATTTTACTCTTAATGTGCTATGTCAATGTGGACACAGTGGTGGCCTGGTCAGGACCCAGTGCAGAGCTCATAGAGTTGGCATTAAAATCCTGAACTTGTTGAAATTCATGAGTATCTCTTATCATGAAATAAGGCTTTTTAATGTATTTTTTGTGGAAATCCTTTTTATAAGTGACAAAGACATAAAAATGCATTACATGTAGTATCACTTGTTTGTGTTGCCACTTTGGGTAGAAAGACCTATATTCAAGTGTCTATATTCTGAGGCAAAAGACATATACTCAGTCACCTGAGATGTGTTTGGTCAAAAACTTCCTCGGATGTGCATATACAGCGTTATTTACAACATTGAGTTTTTGATGTTATCTTTTCACATTGGAATAGTTTACATAAAAATTTGTATTTCTCATATTTTTAAAAACCAGGGAATGTTGATTGGTGCAGTGAGTTTCCATTACCATAAGGAATCAATTAGGGCTGAGTCAGCTAGTGCCTCTGTTGAAGGGGGCAATTGTTCAGGGGTCTCCTCCCCTGACCCTACCCCTCCCTACTGATTCATGTCCTGTCTGTCCACTCAGTGATGAAAACTGCCTGGCTTCTGTGGACAATGTGTTTATGACCTATAAGCCTTGTTACAAGCGTCCTGAAAGGCAACTCAGATAGTACTGGCCCAATTTGCAACCATGCTTTTCTTTTAGTAATTGTATTCAGAGCAGGTCTGAAAGATTTTTCTGAAATGTTTCCTCCACAGATTTTCCCTATACATTTCAACTGCCCTTCTTTGCTTCTAGGACTAGTACAAATGATCTAATTTGATATTTAAGATCTTTTGGAGAGGTCTTCTTTTATAAAGCAGGAATAAGTACATGTCTATGTTAATTTAAATACACTGTCACTTGGTGTAATTTTGTCTCTTCTAGATCAAAGAAACTTTTCATGGGCTCTCTCTATTTCTTTTTTTTTATAGCACAGCGTCCCTTGCAGACCAACTTAGTGCACATTACTGGACAGGATCCATATTTCCACTGTGAGGAATAGCCAGAATTATGCCCTAATATTATTTATTAAGTCGGTTGTTGAAACTTAGGAACATTTTAAGATTTTGTCCAACAAAAAGACTTCTGCATTTGTGGCAAAAACCAGTGTTGAGCACATTGACCTTGACACTTGCCAACATCTTTTTAAGGAAGGGCCCAGGCACAAAAATGTGATGTTCATTGTTTGCAATTTCTTCAGCCCGGGGTACTCTTGCAATATCTGCCCTTAACCTGCTGATAGAGGGATGCTAACTGTCAATACCTTCTTGCACATGACTTTCCTAATGCAGGAACTATGTGGGGGAACGGCAATGCACACTGCTTGCTGGCACCTCTTGTAAGACACTCCGAATAACATAGTACAGGTTAATTGAATTGCAGCAAATGGAGTGAGAGTAAACTAAGTGTAAGATCAAAAGACATTTGGTATGCTGGGCTCACCCTGGTCTTTTGGAGTCAGCAAGGTGGCCTCATCCTTTATTTCTTCTTAAATTTTAAGAGATAGCCTTTCCGGGTAAAGTAGCTTTGGTTGTAGGTCCTTGCTTTTCATCAGTTTAAATATTTCATTCCAATCTCTTTTGTCCTGAAATGTTTCTGTTGAGAGATCAGCTGACAGTCTTGTGGGAGCTGCCTTGTAGGAAATTATCAGCTTTTCTCTTGCTGTTTTTAAGATTCTCTTTTTGTCTTTAAGCCTTGCCGTTTATTATGATGTGTCTTGGTGGGGACCTCTTTGGATTCATCTTGTTTGGGACTCTCTGTGCTTCTTGCACTTGTGTGTCTTTGTCCTTCACCAGGTTATGGAAGTTTTTGGCCATTATTTATTCAAATAGATTCTCCATTCCTTGCTCTCTCTCTTCATCTTCTGGTACCCTGTGATATGGATGTTGTTATGCTTCATGTTGTCCCAAAGTTTCCCTAAGCTATCCTTATTTTTTAAATAATTTTTTTCATGTCTCTGAGCAGGTAGTTTTTTTTAATCATGTTTTTTAAATTGCCGATTTGATCCTCTGCTTCATCCCTTCTACTTTTTATTCCTTCCAGCTTATTCTTGATTTCAGATATGGTATTCTTCATTTCTGACTGGTTCTTTTTCAGATTTCTATGTCTTTTTCATGCTGTTGTAATTCTCACAAAGTTTCTTGAGCATCCATTATAACTATTACTTCAAACTCTATATCTTATAGATTGCTTGTCTCCATTTCATTTAGCTCTTTTTCTCGAGATTCCTCTTATTCTTTTATTTGGAGCCTATTTGTTTGTCTGCCAATTTTGGCTGTCTTTCTGTATTTGTTTCTATGTATTAGTAGATTTGCTGTGATTCCCAGTCTTTGTGGGGGTGGTATTATGTAGTGGTTGACCCAGTGGTGTGGTCTCCTTGATTTCCCGAGCCGGGTGCTTTGATAATGTCTTTTATATGGGTTATGTGGGCTCTCCTGTTGCAATTGAGTTTTTTTTATTTAATATTTTAATTGTATTTTTTCATTACCATTTAGTCCCCTTATACTCCCTCCTCCTTAAATCACCATACTGTTGTCCATGTCCATGGGTCCTTTTTCCTTTTTGCTCAACACTTTCCCCCAGATCCCCCCTTAGATGTCATCCTGATATCTATGAATCTGTCTCTATATTGCTTGTTCAGTTTGTTCATTAGATTCATCATATGAGTGAAATCATATAGTATTTGTCTTTCTCTGCCTGGCTTATTTCACTTGGTGTAATGTTCTCAAGGTCCATCCATACTGTCACAAAGGGTAAAAGCTTCTTCTTTTTTACAGCCAAGTAGTCCACTGTGTAAACGTCCCATAGTTGTTTTATCCACTCAACTACTGATGGACACTTGGGCTGCCTCCATATCTTGACAATTGTAAACAACGCTGCAATGAACATACGGGTGCTAATGTTCTTTCAAATTAGTGTTTTGGGTTCCTATGGGATATATTCCCAGAAGTGAGGTCACTGGGTCAAAAGGCAGATCAATTTTTAATTTTTTGAGTTATCTTCATACTGATTTTCACAGTGGCTGTACCAATCTGCATTCCCACCAGCAGTGCAGAAGAGTTCCCCTTTCTCCACATCCTTGCTGGCACTTGTTTTTTGATTTACTGATGATCGCCATTTTGATAGGTGTGAGATGGTATCTCATTGTGGTTTTATTTTGCATTTCTCTGATGATTAGTGAGGTTGAGCATCTTTCCACATGTCTATTGGCCTTTTGTATGTCTTCTTTGGAGAAGTGTCTATTCAGGTCTTTTGCCCATTTTTCAATTGGGTTGTTTGTTAAGCGCTTGATAAATGTTGAATATTAAGCCCTTATCTGAGGAAATTAACAAGAGAGTAGAGATTTTATGTTCTGTGCATGACCAAGTCTTTGGTTGTTTAGGTCAACCAAACCATCATATATAAAGAGCTCAATTTGCTTCTAACCATCTAACTTTCTGTAATTGCTTGTAAAGTTTTACAGTGGATGATTAAATGGATAAATAAAGAAACCTATCTTTACAAAATGGGGAGATGAAACTAGCAAGGCCTAATGAAATTAATTAGGCCTATTTGACATTTGGAAAGTAGATTTCAATCCAATTGTTCCCCTCAAGGATAAAAGTGTCTTAATGATAATCTGTGTATATTCTCATTGGCTAGAAGAATTCCTATGTTGGAAGGCTACAGCTGCAGCAGTTATGTCTTGATACTTCTATAAAGGGTTTATATTCCTGCTTGGAAGATTGCCACAGGTCCCATAAATTTGGGGAACCCATTTTACTAAATAAATTCTGATTAGATTAGTACCAGGTACTAATCT